GGAGTAAGTTTAAACACAACAGACACAGCTGCAGCAGCAAAAGAAAATAAAGTAAAGACAAGCAGCAGAAGATGCAGAGAGAGACAAAGAGGAGACAAAACAAAAAATAAAAAGAGACAGAAAGAGACAAACAAAAAAATAAATAACAAAGACACAGACACACACACACACAAAATAAAAACAGAGAGACAACACAAACAAATAACACAAACAGAGAAACAAACAAAAAAATAAAAAAGATAGAAACAAGCAAATAATAGACAGAGACAGAGACAGCAGAGAGAAAGGAGACAGAGAGAGACAGACAAACAAATACACGAATAATAAAGACAGAGACACATATAAACAAATAAAAAAAAAGAGAGAGACAGAGAGAGAGAGACAAGCAAAGAGAGAGAGAGAAACAAACAAACACAACATATAGAGCAGAGATAGAAACAAATAAAAATTAAAAAAAGAAAAAAAAAAAAAAAAAAAAAAAAAAAAAAAAAGAAAAAAAAAAAGAATGCAACTGAGACAAAGACAAAAGTAAACAGAGACAGCAACAAAAAAAAATAAAAAAAAAAATAAAAACAAACAAAAAAACAGAGAAAATAAAACAAACAAAAAGACAGACAAACAACAGCACAAACAGCAGCACAGGCAGCAGATAGGAGATAAAGGGAGCAGCAACAGCAGCAGCAACAGCAGCAGCAGCAGCAGCAGCAACAGCAGCAGCAGCAGCAACAGGAGCTGCAAGCTAACGCAAGCAGCAGCCGCTGCAGCGCGTGAAGCAGCAACAGCAGCAGCAGCTGCAGCAACTAAGAACTGGGAGCAGCAGCAACAGCAGCCCCCCTCAAGGCCGTATGCGAAAGAAAACAAGTAGCAGCAGCAGCAGCAGCAGCAACAGCAGCAGCAGCAGCAGGAACAGAAGACGTAGCATTTGCTGCGGTGCAGCAGCTGCTACTGCAGCTGCTGCAGCAGCTGAAGCATCAGAAGCATCAACACCAACAGCAGCAGCAACAGCAGCAACACCGCGAACAGCCACAGCAGCAGCAGCAGCAGCAGCAATAGCAGCAATAGCAGCAGCAGCAGCAGCAGCAGCAGCAGCAGCAGCAGCAGAATGCGGGGATGGTGTGTTGCTCGTGCTGCAAGTGTCACCCCTGTAGGGCTTGCTGCGGCTTCTGCTACCGCAAGCGACGACAAGGCAAAGTCTATGGTCAGCTGCTGCTGCTGCTGCTGCTGCTGCTGCTGCTGCTGCTGCTGCTGCTGGTGTTCTGCTTTTGTGTTGGTGTTGCTGCTGTTGCTGCTGCCATTGTTATCGTTGCTGCTGCGAGGGTTGCCGTTGCTGCTGCTGCTGCTGTTTCTGTTTCTGCCTCTATCATACTTCTTCTGTTCTCTCTATTGCTGCTGCACACTGCTGCTGCTGCTGCTGCTGCTGATACGCTTCTTTATCTGCTGCTGCTACTGCTGCTGCTGCTGCTGCTGCTGCTGCTGCTGCTGCTGTTGCTGCTGCTGCTGCTGTCTGTATGTATTCGTTTCTGTTTCTATTTTCGCTGCTGCATTTGTGTCTCCCATGCGTTCTGAATTTCCTTTCCCTAAACCCTAAACCCCTTTTCTGCTTCTGCTGCTGCTGCTGCTGCTGCTGCTGCTGCTGGTGCTGCTGCTGCTGGTGCTGCAGCTCTGTCTGCAGCAGACCCTGTGTGTGAGCATGGGCGCAAGAAGCGGCGGTTTGTGCGGGCTCGG